TGACCGCATATCGGGGGTGTTACATGCGTGGTTCTCTCCCTTGAGGCTAATGAGTCTCCTTTTCTAGGTATAGAAGTCGGCTAGGGTTTATCCCAAATGATTTAGAGGATATTCTCCAAAAAAGGAAGATTTTTTCTTTTTTCGGGATGGGTGATCGGTCGATCACCTCCAGTGATCGGTCGATTACCTTGATAAGTCATCTCGGCATGAAAATCAGTGATAGTGATCGGTCGATCACTAATGCATCTTCCGTGTTGCCTTCTCCTTCGCGACTACACGATCAGTCTTTGGTATTTTGAGCATATCTTGAGATCTAACCATTGGATTTCCATGATCGAATATTCAGTTTGAAGCTAAGATCCCAAAATGCTCCATTTTTTTGTATTGACGTCAAAACACTCAAAAACAGTAAAAGTAGCATATCAAGCCCCAAAGTTATTCATTTCTTTATTAAAAACCTATTGAAAATATAAGAAAAATGAGTAAATTATCGTAAATATAAATGCTCAGGTTTGGATGCTGAAAGCACCACCAAAGATCAAGTTATTCTTGTGGAAAGCGATTCAAGGGGCTTTGCCTGTTGGTGAACATCTAATTGTGAGTAATATCATGGCAAACGCTAAATGCCTTAGAGGCGACGAGGCTGAATCGGTTCTGCATTTTCTCTTCCGATGTCCGTATGCTCAAGAGGTTTGACTCAATACGCCATTTACAGATAGGTTAGATCCCTCCCAAATCTTAAATGTGGCTTCTGGGTTTACGGAGGCAAGAAAGCTAGTATCTCTACCACCGATTGGACTCGACAAAGGTGAACTATCCTCATGGATTTGCTGGGCGGTTTGGATATCCAGAAACCAAAGAATTTTCAACAAAAATCTCTTCTCAACTGAGGAAACCATTCGCAAAGCGACCCAAGATGCTAGAGAGTGGAAAATGGCCCAAGCAATCATCCCTCCTACGACGGATTCTAGAAAGCTCTCATCAAATCCTTGCCTTGACAACGAAGGTTTTATCTCCTGCCACACAAACGCGGCCTGGATGGCCAATTCGGTAGCGGCAGGCTTTTTTGGACATTCGAAACCAGCCCTAATCAAGTTTCAGAATTCTCTGCAAACTCTCTCTATGTGCCGTTAGCTCTCACAGCAGAAGCTCTGGTCCTAAGGACAGCAATACTCCAAGCGACAACTTTGAGATTCAATAAAGTGATCTTCCTCTCAGATTGTCAGCAATTGATTCGAGCAATCACACAAAATTCCCCAATTTTCGTGATTCATGGGATCTTGGCTAATATCTCTCTTTGTGTTGCTTCATTTATCTCTATCCAGATTAAGTTTATCGCTAGATCTGCTAATGATAGAGCAGACTATGTAGCCAAACAAGCTCTTAGGAGCATTCTGAGTTT